AAAATATGTATGAAGTGAGGCCTATAGCAAAATGATTTGGTACATAGCTGAAATGAGAAATGGCCAAAGATGGATGAGGTATGGCAGCTGCACCAAGATAATATCTGGTTTTGGTAAACAAGTGTAGACTGAGGCAAAGCATGATTGTTGTGCTGGTCCAAGAGGTGCACTATGCAGCAAAGAGTAGGCATCACCCCTCAATTTATCCATTCTTCAAACCCTCTAGCTCTCCCTTTTTGTCTCCAAAAGTCCCCCCTTACAGGACTTTCAGAGCTGGGGGAAGAACAAACCCACCAATATATAGGCCAGAGCTCCTGTTCAGCCTTGTGCAACCCTATTGAGCTTTACGTCATCTATCTGCAAAGTCAAAGAGAAAGATTCAATTTCATATCATACATTGGAGTGCTAATTTTTGTAATATTATTTGCAGTCAGCATGAACGGTGCTCCCAGGAGCTGGTCTCACAGACATGCAGGCTTTCTCCACAGCTCCTGTTTCTCACACATTTGGTGGTTGTCCCTTCACTTTTCTGAGAGTTTCTTGCTAGAAAAGGATTCGCTACTCCCTGGGAAAGGCAGATAATGGTAGATAAAGGAGCAGTTCATCACCCTGGAGAGTGATGGAGCTGGGTACCAGGTCTGTACAGCAAACAGATAAGAAAGTGTCATCTAAACTCCCTGGCCCAAAGGGAACCCAAACAAACAAAAAAGAACCCCACCAAATAAAAGTTTTTTGATAAATAGTCACAACCCAGGAGTAGGTAGGAGAAATGGCTTTTTTCCCTTTTTTACTCTTCCTATTTTTTACTATGAAAACAAACTAAACATCTTCAGAAGTGGATTTTCACATATGACTTGTGAATCTCCATATCTATCTAGGGCACAGATAATGAGTCTGAGCTAGTTTATACAGTTGCTCTCTTATTATCATAACCTTTAATGCAATGAATTGTTATTGAAGTTTTCTTATCCATGTTCCTGTTTTGGTAGAAACAAGGGATGTATTTTACGCATGAGTTTTACACTGCTGCAGGTCGAAGGCATGCAGATGAGGAATGTCTCTCCAAATAACCCCCTAGCTAGGAATATAAACTATTCTCACTGAGCTCCGGCAGAAAACCACAAATTGTGGTGCAGATTGTATTTCCATGAAATTCTACGTAAGAACACAAAAGAGAAGAAGAAGGGAAAGCAAATCAGCCAATGGAAGTGGGTGAAGCAGACATCAACTTCGGATGAAATGCAGGTGGACAATGTGGAAAGACTCATTGCTTTCCTAGAAATGAGGGTCACTGAGTTTAATGTCAGAAGATCCCTGATATGGGGCATCTGGTACCATTGCAGCCAATACCCAGCCAAGTCTGGAGAACATTTCTTCTCCTTATTCCATATCAAAGCAACTGGAAGAGTTAAGTACCACCACCTTCATTTCCACATCCTCTTCTTTGCTTGTCAGAGCAATAGATCTTTTACTAAAAAGAAAGAAGCTTACTGGTCGCATAGATTAGCATTGGGTGATCCAAAGCCTGCTGATGGCCACTACTTGTTTCCACTGATTTAAACAAAACACACAAAAAAAGGGTAGATTTATGTTGAGTATAAGGAAGAAATTCTTTACTGTAAGGGTGGTGAAACACTGGAACAGGTTGCCCAGATGATGTGGATGCCTTATTCCTGAAAATATTCAAGGTTAGGTTCAATGAGGTTCAACAACCACCTAGAGGACCCTTGGGGAACCCCAGCTTTGGAACTGCACATGTGCTCACTAAACTAAGCCCATCATTATCATAGTAACACCTCTTTAAGCTTCATATGCAAATTATGGATAACACCCCAAAAGAACATGAACATAAAAGTGCAGGGCTCAGGTCAGAGGGGGAGCTCCCACTACCAACAAAACCCTGGGTGAAGAGGACCAACAAGACGTCACTGGATCCATGGGTTGTGATACTTCTCTATTTCTTTCTCTGCCTTTCTTTATCTCTCCTCTCCTCTCCTCTCCTCTCCTCTCCTCTCCTCTCCTCTCCTCTCCTCTCCTCTCCTCTCCTCTCCTCTCCTCTCCTCTCCTCTTTTTCACTGAATATTGACTAGATCTAAGTAAAAATGTGTGGCACAGGACTTGCTGATCCAGTTAAAGCAATCATTGTTGAGTTATTGTATCTAGCTACATGCCTTTTATTTTGCCTTAATTAATCACAAAACTGGTTGGTGGGTGTCGTTTCACCTTAATTCAGTACAAGGTTATCATGAACTTGGTTGTTGGTCCCAAGGAGAGGGAGATAATCCAAAACAACTCCTTTCAGGTTGCAACAGTAAGTTATAGTTAAACTGCTGCATGGATGTTAGTAAAAAGCTATTGTAGTTTTGCCACCCTAACAAGACACCAGCTAGCTCCACCATGATACATATGAGAGCATGTTAGCATTGCTTTATGAATATTGTTTTCAAGGATTATAATTAGATCATGAACGTGGGGATAAAATGTCTGTATGAAGGCTTTAAAAATTACCTTGAGAAATACAGATCTAGTTTTGCATATATGGATTTCAGAAATAAGTTTATGTGAGATAATAGAATTTGTTTCTTATTGTGTAGGACTCAAAAGTGTTCTGCATTCTTCTTATGATCTGCATGAATTCGCAGCAGGTGAATTTAGTGATATTTACAAAGCCAGAAACTAAATCCTCCAGCCCACTGCTAGCTATCAGGAAATAATAATATTTATCCACAGGGTATATTACACAAACGGCAATGGCAGGCATTTCCTGTCTATCTTGCCAAACTGTCCCTCCACCTACCCATGGTCCCACTCACTCCTGGGGTGCTGCTCAAGGGCACTAGCCCTGGTTATTATGACCCACCTCCATTTGCCATATTTAGTCTCACAACCCAGCCATTGAGACAGAAGTTAATTTAAGTGTTATTTTCCACTGAAACGAGTGATGAATACAGTGGCCATGAGCTCTTGAACAGAGTAGAGCTAATTACCAGCTGTAATGTGCTTACTTATATATGCGCTAGACACAGGCGAGCTGATTACACTCACCATAGCAAGAAAATACAAAAATAAGGTAATATAACATTACTAAATGTATATCATTTGCTCTAATTCCTGTTACACAAAACTGTACTGATTTTATACTGTCTGTAAATTTGTGAGGATTTTGGTCAAAGTGTATTGTCTGACTTTTTTAGCAAGACAGTTTTCATAAATAGAATAGGAAGAACTGACAGAAGGGTGCTAACAGGTTGTGTAAAATCAGAGTCAACTAACCCAGTTCTGCATTTTATAAATTATTATAAGTCAGAAGCAAGACTCTTTGAATCACTGGAATTTCAGTGAAATAAAACACCTCCAAAGTGAAGAACCACTGCTGAAAATCATGTGAGCATTTACTTCTGTCTCAAGGATCACAGTTTTTAGTGAGGGAGAATCTTCCCAACCCTGTGGTCCAGCTTCTTCTTTACTTTAAGCCCTCCATGCCTGTTGGACAGAATATGAAGATCAGACATATTTTGCTCTCTACCACTGAATCTGCTCTAACTTACTCAGTATTAAAGCCCTGTTAATGCCTTAGGCAGCAGTAGCTGACCCTTTATATTAAAACCTCCTCTGTAGCAGATGCCTCATGCATATGCCTATTGATGTATTTTAAAGTGAAGATAATTTTTTTATTTTGGGTATCTTCTCTTGATTCAGATTCCCAAGAAAACACCTCTTGGACCTATTTTTCCATGCCATGTATTTCCCCATACTCCCTGCTCCCTGCTACAATGTTTTGCTCTATACATACAAAGCTTTTGTATGTTGATCCTTGTCAAAACTTTAGAAGCCACTTAAGCATCACTTTAAAGGGCTCTTTATCACTCAGATGAATTTTCCTCTAATTGTATCCTTTAACTCCAAAAGGGGTTTGGGGACATACTTTGCAGGAAAGATACTGTAGAAAACAAAAGTTTCATTGCTAGTGGTTCTGCTTTTATATTTCCACCCAGGTAACTCTGCACACCAATTTGCTTTCTCTTTTCTGATACTCGTTTCCTCCTGGGGCTAGTTCCTGTGACAGAGCTGTCTTCAAATAATTTAATTATCCTGTGGCACACACCTTTTTAGTCCCCCCTGAAATGGTGCGTGACGCCTTTGGTTTACATCACTCGTTGAAAAACACTCCAAAGCATTGAAAAACTATGAAATCGTTACAGTATTGGATGCCAACACACAGGACTATTAGTCTAATTCATCCTTCAGATCAAAGCCCACACAAGCAGCTCTCCTGCCTACAGCTATTTTCCTTTTACTTTCCTGCTTGACAGTAGTCCCTCATATCCCTCTGTTCTACTTTCTTTGAACATACACATTTTCCTTTAGTCATGGAAATATAATTTATGTCTATTATACTGTATTATAGATTGCAGATCGGGACAAGCGCGCATTACTGCCTGGAACGTCTGTTTATTGTACGTCGGGTTTCTAAAAATAAATAAATAAGAAAGCCACCCTGCTTTGCTGGGGAGAGAAAAATAGGAAGGGGGAGGACTTGGGGGCTGGGGCGATCTGCCCTCTGTTCTTAAAGTTTCATTTCCAAGGAAAGACCTTGAAGCATGATTTATTAACATCATGCTGTTTGCTTTTGTCACGTTGTGGATGTGGTGGTGGGGGGGGGGGGGAGCGCTGGCCCCTCTCTAGCCTGGACCACCCAGCGAGCTGAGCAGAGCTACTGGCAGCACACACTCCGGTTCAAAGGTTCACCCCCAATTCAGCAGCTCCATCAGTCACCAGCCGCCTGGCTCAGCCACCCCATTGGAGGCAACAGCAATAATAATAATAACAATTCCCCCCCCCCAAAAAAAAAGAATAATATCCTAACAGACAGGCTGTCTGGGGTGCGAGAATTGCAAAAACAATCCCCACCCCAACACAGAGAGTGTGTGTGCACAGAGGAGAGGGAGTGTGAGGAGGGGGGAGAGAGGGAATGAGACAGACAGAGGGGAGGGAAGAAGGGAGGAGGGAGTCCAAGCTCTGAGAAACATCACTCCATCTCTCTCACTCCACAGGAGCTGAGCAAGGAGCAGGACAATGTTTGACAACACACAGTACCCCTATAACTGCTTTAATTATGATGGGGATGATTATCCTACCTGTAGTTCTGATGAAGAGAAAAAATTCACCAGACCAGCGTACAGGTAAGAGGAAGTTTTTCCAAATCCCCTCATTTCTGGGGAGATTTCTGAGCTCTGGGGGTGGTGGGATTATAGAATTTGGGGGAGTGTGGGACCTCTCCCCAGGAGTGTGCAGTGGGTCTGATTTCCCCCCTTCTCTGTGTTTGAAGTGTCCATGATTTGTTTTCTCCTGTGCGGGGTCACAGCAACTCTGGCATGCTGTTGAGTCACCAGATCTCAGGTGGCATCCTCCATCCTCCAGCAGCCCCAGGAGAATGGGAATTAAATGTGCAATGTGCCAGTGGGTGAACTGGATGCAGATAATCCCCATCACAGTGGGAAGAGGTGCAGTGTAGATGTTCACAGGGAACTTAAGGTCCTTTACAACAGCAGTCAAGGTCCCCAGTGACACTGCCTCTGAGCCTGGACTGTCTCACTGCAGCTTTCCAGCTCAGAGAAACTTTTCTGATGGAGTTTGAGAGGTGGATGATTTTTCTGTAATCCTCCTGTATCTCAGCCCTCTGCACTGTGTGCCAGGGAAAAGAGCCTCACTGGGACTCAGTTGCCTGGAAGTAATGCCTGTGTATCACCCTGGAGGCTCGGGGCTAAGAGGCAGTGACTACGCTCGGGACTTATCCCTGGGATGTCTCGTGTCAGGGTGCAGATCCACTGGGAGAACTTCTGGAAGCAGCATATAGGCACACATGTGCCCATGTGGTCCTAAAAATTGAGTACCTGAGTAAGGTGATGGTATAACAGCAAGTTTTCCTTTTTTCAGCTACATTGCCTTAATTGCAATGGCCATCCAGCAAAGTCCTTCAAATAAAGTCACCCTCTCTGGCATTTATGACTTTATAATGAAGAAATTTCCTTACTACAGATCAAATCAAAGAGCCTGGCAGAACTCCATCCGACATAACTTATCACTTAACAGTTGTTTTGTAAAGGTAAGATCAGTAACTGTATATTTACATACACACTGTGCATGGCTAAAAAAATATATGCAGGGATAATCTTCTCACTAGGAAAGAAAGAAAACAAACAGCTGAGCTGTAAATCACTTAAAATGTCTCTGAGTTGTCAGTTGTAAAAAGTATATCTTTGTCTGGTGCGAGCTAATAGATAACAAATTGAAGAGGATGGAGTTTACATCCTATTCATATAATGAAAGAGAATAGGCTTAAAAGTCTTGTCATATGTGTTTACACCATTCTTGAATGTAAATGAATGCAGATGTGAAGCAGCAGCATCTGTAACACATACAAATACTGAACTGCCTTTAAATAAATACAGGTTCCCAGAACAGAAGGGAATGAGAAGGGGAAAGGAAACTATTGGAGCTTTGCAACAGGATGTGAATCCATGCTGGATCTCTTTGAAAATGGGAATTACAGGCGAAGACGGAGGAGGAGGAATGTGAAAAGGGAACATAAGGAGCCGAGACCAAGCAGGGGGAAAAGTCCTTCATCCTCCGATATGTCTTCTATGGACTCTGCTTTAAACAACATTTCCTCTTCTGAAAGTAAGCACGGAAGAATTGAATCAGGCCCAAGACTGCTGGAGCCTCGTGGGTTTGCTCCAAACAGCATGACCAACAGGCAAAGCCTAAGCAATTCCTCCTTAGCAAAATCGGATTCTGAAATTAAATTCAGCATTGATTACATCCTTTCAGCCCCCGACCCTTTGCCTGTCCTGAGATCTCAATATAATATGCAAGAAAATAAATATCATCTGCTGGAGGCTCAACAAATTAATCTCCAGTTCTGGACAATGTGATGTTACTTATTCATGGCAAAAAGTCTGAGTTGCAGTGTATTCAGCAGCCTCATGTCACTGAAAACCAGCTGCTTGCCTCCTCGTCGTCTTCACAAGCAGTACTCAGAAAGGGTTACTGATTCACCAGCCGATGCTCTGTCTGTACCCAAAGAACTTTGCTAAGATAAGAGCATAAATAACAGTTACCAATATCAGTTTTCATTATGCTGAAATTCATGAAATTCTAGCTTTGGTTTCTAAACTGTCGTGGGCACCATTTAACACCACAAAGAATTTCCTTTCTCAAGCAGAATCTGACAGAAAAAAGACTTGCTTATCACCCATTGCTGTATTAAAGACAAAGTGAATTTGATTCCACTTTCACTAGTGGAAATTAGGATTAATTCCACTGAAGTATATAGGTCAGAACTTAAGCTGATCTAAAATAGTGTAATTCTGTCAACTTACACTGGCTGAGAATGTAAGGGGGGGTGACTTCACTTTCTTAAAAGGAATCACAGAGTATCACTCTGTCTTCCCTTAGTCTTTATTTTAACATCTTGTTTCAAACTGTTTTGCAGCTTTCACTCATCATCAATGAGAAAAATGTAGTTATTAATAAGTGTTTAAACTATATTTTTTTTATATTCAGGGCAGTGTTGTTTAAATTGTTGAAATGAAATTGTATTCAAAATAATTTCAAGAAAGCTAACTGCAAGGCTGTTGAAGTTGGGTAATGTGACAGAGGCATAGGGCCTCTTAATGCCTCGGATTTAAACAAATAAACAAACTTCTCCCTTTAGACTATCAGAAAGATTCCCGAGATGCTGCAGGAAAGTCCTTGAACATCTTTCATTTAGCAAGTGTGAAGGGAGACCTGGCTTTGCAAGGAGCTGTATACAGCATTGACCAAAGCTAGAATTCCACCTACCTGCTTTGAGACAAGTTGTGTATTTCTATTAAACAGATTTATATTGATCCTTCTTGCAAGCAATTACCAAAGTGGTACTTGATAAAATTTCAGCAAAGCTAGTGAGATTTATGAATGCAGATAGCAATATTAGGTCATGAGCTCCATTTCTAAAGAAAGCCGTTTCATTAACATTTACATGAGGTGGGATATTTCAGAACAGAACCTGATGGACAATGATGAACTGTAATGATCGTTGAAGAACTTGCTTTTATACAACTTGTCCACGATGAATTGCTTCCCAGTACCTAATGGCAGTATTAGTAAAGACTCCACAAAATCTTGGTTTTGACTTGGCTACTACGGTCTTCACCTACTGCACATATATTTAAAAACAAAAACCAACAACAAGGATTCTGGTGGGTTTAAGCAATTATATACAGAGAGATAAAATTATCTTTGCAATGTGAACTAAAGGTAAATGAAGGTGTACGGGATAAGATTAAACAAAATTGTGCTAGAGGGATGCTCAGGCATGACTTGAACTTTTATGCAGGTTTGACATTTCACTAAGTTATTTTACATTGTGTCTAATATATACTGTACATTTATACTATATATTCTTATATATTGTTATTGAGAAAGGAAGCAATATCATTGCATTTATATGTTGTAAAAATGCATGATGTATGTTGTCATGATGCTGAAAATCCTGCCACATAGTTAAAACTTATTGTCAGGGGCATTTAACATTGGTTGGTAATAAAGGCTCATTTTTTTTGGAAAATGATAAAACTTGCTCTCTTCAGGCATTTTCACAGCATGCAAGTCTTTGCTTCTTCTTCAGTAAAGTCAGCATGAAAAATCATGTCAGGTATATCACTGCATGTCTTCCAAACTCTGAAGGAATGATTTCTTGTCACCAAATTCAGCCTTCAAATGGAAGCTTTCAGTTCTCTGTGAATCAGTGGTTATTACCTGAAAGCAAAATTTGACTCATTAGACCTGATTGTTCTTCTGTTTACATTGACATTAAAAAAAAAAGAAAAACTCTGGGGTCACTGGAGAGATGGATTCTTATTTGAACAGGACCAAGAATTTGCTCCTTTAGTATTTATGCTCTGTAGTAAAAAAGTATGGGAAGAGCATGTCCTCATTTAGTACTTCAGTGTATGCATGCACTCACATGTGGGTTGGTACCTCTAGGATCCTACGTTTATATATTCATGCTTTACACGCAGATTTTTTCTTGATTGTTTTAAGCATGGCAATGCTGCTGTTAGGCTGATAGTTACATACATCTGCATTATATTTGAAATATATATATTTTTTGCTGTGAAATGTGCAAATATGATTCTTCCTATGTCTTCTTTATTAATGCTGTTAGCAAAAGGGAGCTCAATGAGTGAAAGTTCCTAATATGCAACACCTTACCCAGGTGAACACAGTAGGCTGCTGCGGCCAATAGACATATAGTTATGGCTACTATGCAAGATAGGATTCATGTACTAAGAAAGGCAGAAATACACACCAGAGATCCAAAACCATTTTCAGTATGATGAATGAATATTCACAAATAGCCATGTCCTTTGCTCACAGTAAAGTGCCTGCTAGGGAGAGACTGTCAGACTTGAGTTTCCCTAACATATAATCAAAGAAATTTGTGTACAAATAGGTGTTAACATTTGTTTTGCAAAGGATATCAATCATATTTCAAAAAATGAAGGGACATATTTCAATTTACCCAGTATATTATATTCTGACGACTCCAGAAAGGTTTCCAGCACTTAAAGTGAATGGCATTTAATATAGAACAACATAACAGGGGTGAGGGCTAGACGTGACCTTATTCAAATGTCGTAGCCATTACAAAGCCATTCCCAATGTAATTATAATTAAATACTTTATGCCTTTCTTGCAAATCCTCTGATCGATCATTGATATTAACATTAATATTGTATTACCCCCGAGCAAATGTCTCCCACACAAGTGTTATGGATCACCAGGTTTCCATTAACAAAAGTTGTGAGCTATTGCCATATGCTGGTCATGGATAAATTTACGTAAATTACCTTTTCTGAGGGAAGGGAGGAAAAAAGTCCACATTCTTTTCTTTTTACCCCCGCACTCTGAGTCTAGAGCTGTTTCTTCAGCTCTGTCACAGGCTGTCAGCCGCTTACCTAAAGCTGAAATGAAAGGAAAAGAAAAAAAATCTCACAGGAACATCCTTCTTTTCCCTATGTTGAAGCAGGCTGAGTGTTCTCCACACGTAAGTGGTTTGATACACAGGTTAAAAGCTGAGCTGAAGCCAGGGCTGAGCAGTGCAGGGAAGGGGTCTGCATCCCGCCAAGACCATCACAGGGCTGATTAGGCTGCGCACAGCAGCCAAAATGGTAAAAGGTATTGGTGTTTGGCTCAATTCCCCAGCTCAGGAGGTCTTCCTGACCGTGAAGAGAAGCCCAGAATGAGCCCTGGATTTCCTGACCCCAGAAGAGGAGCTTCTGCTGGGTAGCTGGCACTGTCTGTCCCAAGACAGGGATGAGACAGGAGATGGAGGCGGGAGAGCAGCTTCTCACTGCTGGGCTGGTGGGCAAGGCTTTTGTCCTCTCCTTTTAGGGTCATAAATACCTTTGTAAAAGAAAGATGAAAGGTTTCTTTCTGGAGAGAAGCTAGGCTCAGTCTCAGTGAGGGACCCTGGGGTGTTTTGTTTATTTACCCTTTTAAAAGAAGGCATCCCATGATAAAACAAAGATTTTGATGGAGCTACGCCAGGTTATTCTGCAGTCGTTTGACTTCTGATGATTTAATTTCTTACACTTCTGTCACTGGAGTCACAAAAGCATTTTTTGCACAGCAAGATGATCCTCTACCTCAGAACGGGATTCAAAGTACTTGGTCAAGGTTGTAGCACTTTATTTCACCTCCCCCACTAAAGTAAGGCCAGAAAACACCTAATACAGACCAGTGATTGACCTCACCTATAAGAACTCCCTCAGCAGAACCTTCTCCTCATTATGGGAGCATTAATGCAAATCAGGATAGCTGAAAACAAACCTTTTCTTTGACAGCAAAGCCAAGTTCAAGTTCCCCTATTTTTCTGCCGGTCAGATAGATCTTATTAGTTGAGAGCCATTAACTCCCCATATAAACAGAAGCTGTACTCAAGGAGCATTTGAAAGTCAAACCACACTGGACAGCTGGTTCTCTCCACACCTTTGCTTTGCTGTACTCAGTCTTGTTGCTTGGGCTACCACAACCTTCCTCAGCCACACAGCAGGCTGGTCCTCAGAGCAGTCTGCATGTTCCTTCAAAGCTGAATAGAGATTTTTGCACCATTTTCTGATCATAAAGGGTTTTCCTTTTGGATAGCGATTGCCTTTTAAGGTCCAAATCTTGTGTGCCTTTTTAACTCTCTATTGAGGTGGGACACACTGAGAGGGGAAAGGGTTTGGATGGACAAGCATTAGGGAAAAAGCTCTACTTTACATTTTCAGTAATACAGTCCCAGAGTTAGGACTCTGCAAATGGTGCACGGCAAGAGCCCTTGAGCTGTGTATCAAATGTCTGTACTGTAAATCAAGGGCAGCATCTCCCCAGTGTCCCACCACACTCAAGCTCAGGCAAAAAAGGCATGCCCCTATGCAAACAGGGCTTTAATCTTCACCTCTGGCAGTGTAACACAAACCCCTGTCTGTGATCAGCACTTCAGATCCCAAACCCAAGACAAGAAAATCCTGTGCTGCCCATTCCAGCCAGGCTTTCCCCTCTCTGTCTCCTCTGGGGTGTGTTCTCCTTCCTGCTCTGTGGGTGTAAATCCTCACAAATCCATTAACTTTGGTACAATTACTTTTGGAACTGAAATAGCAAGTGTGAAACTGAACTTTGCATGTTATATACAACATCTCACGCAGTCTGCCACACTGTGCCCGCAACTGGTGAGTTGTCCTGGTTAGCATTCTCAGAGCAACAAATGGTCCTGATTCTTTATTTTGCCTTGGCATCCAGCTTCTAATTGCTTTCTCGGCAACATGGGTACCATATGCACTGCAATGCACGAAAGACCTAGTACATACCCTCTGCCTCTATGCTAGGAGGAATGTCTTTCTTATTGCGCTTAGGGTCATTAAATTAAAGAACAGGGTAGGTCCACGTCCTGCAGAACTTGAACTGGATCTTTTTTACCCAGAGAGCTAACATAAAATAACAAAGTAAGTTGTGCTCCCTCCCACCCTAGTTACAGCGGTTGGAGGCAAATCCAACTGTGAGAATTTTGCCTGAGAAAGAACTGCCGGATTTCTCCCACTGTGAAATCCAGCTGTTAATTCAAACAGAAGGGATGGACCTGACCAGATAGGCCAACTGGCTTGTTTCCATCCTGAAGTCCATTGTGTTCCACAAGTTCCTAAATTTATGGTCATGGAGGTCTTCCAAGCCCTGTAACAAAGTATGGCATGCAATGTTTTTGTTATGGAATGTGTGCTGCAAAGGAAAAACAAGGTTTGAATTTATCATTCAAATGAAGATCCTGGAATCTCTCAGGATAAACAGGCTAAATTAGGAATCAAAATACACCATGTTTCTCACCATAATTATAAAACTGAAAATAGCACTTGCAGAGTACTGTCAGAGAAGAAAACTAGAAGTTGCAGTAAGCCCAACCAACTTTCTTTTGGTCATGAGTGTTTTTCTC